GGTTTCCAACATCAGTTGAAGGGCAGTGGGTTCAGGGGGGCTGGTTAATTTGCTCAAGTACTGAGAATGCCAACTCATCCTCAGGCTGAATAATGTTGTTCTGAGCTTGTGCATATGCATTAGAGATGACATAAAAGAGACACGAGAATTTACCTCTTGATGAGACACAGTGACAAGTTTCCACCCAGCTGCAGTAATGTAACGGCGTTTTAGCATGGTATGCCCCAGTGGAACCCCTGTGAAGAAATAATAAAATAATTAGTAAATGCATAGGGAAATATTGCCGTATATGAGTTCCAAAAGGGTTTTTTATGATTTAATACGATACACACCAGAATTTCTCGAGAAATGAGTCGGCCCATCGATTTCCATAGCAATTTTCTGATCAATCAAGACTGCATCCAAAGTGTAGCCCTCTACAGTATATTCTTTGACCCAATCTAAGCCAGTGCTAACAAGAAGACGGGCCACCTCCTTCTGAAATGAGGAAGTCACCTTTTGATTAAACCTCTTACTTTTTCCAGCACGAGCAATTTTCTCTTCCAGCACACTTGGAAGAGATAACTGAAGATGGGGACATTCTAGCATGAGACATTGATTCACAAGATGAAGCTGAGAAGCAAACATAATATCTTCCCGATACTGCTCAGAAATCTGTTGCTCCTCAAAATGGCTTAGAGTTCGCCACACGTGGGAAAAGAAAACTCGATTCATCTGCCCAAGAACGGCATACGACCAAGATATATTACCCAGCTGATCTCTATTAAACTCAAGAACATGATGCCCTAAAAGTTCTTCAGACTCAACATTTCCGTTACTCCCTGCTGCTCTTCCTTCACCAAAATTAGATGTTTCACCAACTATGCAACACTTAAATTGCTTCATCTCCGCAAAAGCATTATCAAGAGACTCCAGCAAAGAGTCCGCAGGCTCACAAAGAGAGGCAAAAGACCACAATACCTGAGCAATTTCTTGTGGCTGAAATGTGGGAATTATATCTGAGGCCCTTTCTGATAATTCTGAAAAGAGATCCGAAGCAGAGTGCTGCATTGAAGCAAAAGCACCTGCGATGTTGGCAACATTTTGCGAATTGAACTCGGCAACCTTAGTCAAGGCCACCTCTGCCACCCTGTCCATTTCTGACATATAAAGAAGCTCGCCACCAATCTTCGACAATGCCCAAGCAATGTTTGAAACACCTTGTGCTGAGCACTCGGGCAAGGCAGTCATCGCCATCCCTACAAGCATGCACATCTCTCTCCGCCGAGCAAATGCCAACCTCCGTGTTCTCATCATCGATACTTTCTCCATGTTCTTGGCAATTCTATGCAATGCCGTGGCTAAATTCAAAGGTGAAAGAGGTGAAGGGTTAAGCCCTTTTGCAACAGCCATGATTATCTCAGCTGTAACCTCCAAAACTTCCTCAGCAGTCTGCGCTTCAACAATTGCTTTATTCAAATTAATTTCTTTCCTACGGTCAGAAGGCCCTGAAAATTGTGAAAGCCTTTGAACAAATGTTTCCATTGTTTTCCCTTTTCTTTCTTCAAACATTCCACCTGCAAGCATGCTCACAGATCTCCTAAGATGATCAGCCATGTCCAAAGAATCAATATCACCCACATCAAATTCTACTCCATCAGAATTGGAACCCTCGTCCTCTACTTCTATATCAGATCCTAATGGATTGATTTTATCAATCTTCTGTTTCTTGGAGCTCTTTTTTTTCTTCTTCTTCTTCTTCCCATCACCAATAACTACCCTTTCCATTTTAGCAGTTAATCCTCTATCCTCAATAGATTTCAAAGCAATCTTCCTAGCCCTTACACACCATTCCATTTTATCAGATTCTTCTAACAACCTCGAATTCGGTTCTTTTTTCCTCTTCTTAGGGGGCAAGTGTCCATATGGGTCTATCTCCCCAAGAAACTCTGCTTTCCAATCCACACTACTGTTACTAGAACTAAGCCCCTTTTCCTCTTGCACGTCCTCAACGTTGTCAATTTCATTATCCGGAGTTTTAATAGCTACAGAACCCATGTATTTGTTGTAATTTCGCCCAATACTTGTGCAACAATGCTTTCGAAAATGGTAGCCCAGATGAATCTTTGGATTCAAAATGGGCATTGCAGTTTTTACGTAAATTCCTTTGGAAGGCAATCTTTTAAAAGTGGGGAATGTATTTAGCAAGGCCGTTGCTTCCATCGCTTTATTTTTCTGTATTTATTTGCTTCAAGTTAAACGATTTTGACAAACTATTTTATGTATATGGAAAATGTAAAATAAGAAACTTACTATTACAGGAGAGTATGGCAGACCAACCCTGATTTCACGACTTCAAACGTTGATCTCCGCTGCCTCCGCCTCCGTTCTGTCTTATTTTATGTGGCACCTACCACCAAAGTTGTGTCGCGGCGGTGCTGTGAAGTGGATAAGCTTGTGACTGTATGTAATTCTGAATAAAATTAAAAGAATTAAAAAATGAAAAAAAAAAAGGATATATGTTAAAATTTTAATTTTAATATAAATCAAGATCAATAATTAATTTTGATTAAATATTTCATGGGATCATCAAATTTTTCCATCGAACAGGTGCACGATTTTTTCATTTTTATGTTTTAATAAATGGAGTTGGATGGAGTTACCAAAAACAACAATCCTTAATTAAGAAAAAGTGAATTTTAGTACGTGAAATTTAGGACTTGTTTGATAAAATTAATTTTTTGTTAAAAAAATTGGTCAATATTTATTTTTAATCACACATTTTATTCCATTCATAATTTTTATCTTTTTTTTTTTTTTGGATTTACCAACTTTTATCACCTTTGTTTGCTAAAAATTTACATCAAACAAACATTGATATTCAGAATATATATGTAAAGCATGAAACTGTGAAAAGTTATTGATAAATTATACAACAATATACTAATTCTAGTTATGAATACATTTTTTATTATTTATGCATATTTCATGGTTCTATTTAATTTATCAGCACACAAATAAAGTCTTCAATTCAAAAAATTGCCAAATTAACAAAAAATAAAAATAAAAATAGCAATTTTCGGTCAAGAAATGCTATCTAACACTGTATATGATGAGTTTATAAATCATTTATAAATTTGTCAAACTCTATTTTCAACCACATATATCGATTAACTCACAATTACTATCTACTTATCCACGACTCTTCCCTACGTATTTATACGCTAAAGCATTCTCCTCATTTGCTTTGGTCGAGTAATGGCTTTGCTTGTTAGGAGAAAATAATTGAAGAATCCAATTTATAAATAATACTTACAAGCAAGAATGTAGGTGCAAAGAAGTACCTCGATTAAGAAACCAACTCGAGTGTTGCTAACATACATTTCATCTAAGAGCTTAAATAATTTATCGAATCATGTTTCGGCCATAGATAAGATTTATGTTAGTGGCATTCGGGTCACTAAGGCTTAGGACATCACATATTGTGAGCAAATTCCATCAATTTTTGTTTATGTAAGAGTAAAAACATTAGACAAAGCCATCATTTGAACTTCTCGATCTCCCTGAGATAGGTTAAGTAATCTTCTGATGAAAATGATATCTAAAAGTGGTCGAAATTCATAACTGTGCCTCTATTTGACAACCTTTATTTTAGCCATTTAAAGTATTTTGCAATTTTTCAAACAGTGTTACAATAAAAAAAAAATTACTGGTGCATTTGACAGATATTAAATTCTGTTGCAATGAGACACGTTGAAAAAATTCGTTTGCCATTTTTGCCGTCATTGATATACTACGAACTGAATCATGCTAGATGTACAATCTAATTTGACAACATTGGATGATAACTCAATTTCAAAAACTGTTTTTTAAATCATTGGCCTGCATTTAAACAACACAAACATTGTCAACCATTATTATCAAGTTTGATTATACGAATGACATAATTGTTGGAAAGAGAATACCAAGTAGTTTTGAAAGACGAGGGTTGTAGAAATTGATTTTCACGTTCGTACAGGAATGGATTTAACAGAAATATTACAGAACTTTAGTGCAAAAAAACCCACTAGCCCTATCATGTCTTATCTGGAGGGTCTAGGACCCCTCCTTCTGTACATATAACATGCTTATAGTAAAATTTAGTTTTTGCTAAAACAATGTCCGTCTAATAGGGGCTACATCTGGTAAAGTAACCGCAGAAAATATTATTTATCTTTCGTATTCTAATATGATTACGAATTCTTTAGGTCTATGCATTATGTGTCATAAGTAGTGTTCTAAATAGCGCACCAATTTGCGCATTGGTGCGAGGCTAAGGCGCCAAGCGAAGTGCCTGACGCATTATTTGACGATCAACAGACATGAGGCGAGGCTAAGGCGCCAATGCGAGCCTAGGTGCACATTATTAGGTTTTTTTTCTTTTTTCTTTACAAGTCTTTAAAGTTAAAACTTATAATTATTAAATAATTTATAATTATTAAATAAATTTTTTATTGATTAAAAATTTAAAATAATATTAAAATAAGAAAACCTTTTTTTATACATTTGTCTCGCCTAATCTCGCATTGCCCTTAACTTAGTATCAACGCATCGCCATGCATTACGCTTTTTAGAACACTGACTATAAGGATTTGAGATGCAGTATAACTTCCAAGCAGCGAAAAACGAAGACCAAAAATATTGCTCGTCATGAAATAAATTCCAACAAAGTGACTTGACATTACAAAAAAGTATAGTACAACTTTCACGTCATTACCTAAAGACTTTATTCGACCAATTTTCACTCTCAATACGAGGATATTTTAGGTTCTCTTGAAAATTACAGCACAGTCCGCTCTTCAACAAGACAGAGTGCAGGTGGAGAAAGGAGCTGAAACCACGTTAAAACTTCAGATGATGCTCGAACAAGGATGCCATCTCAATCTGCAAAACAACCCCAGAAATAAACTTACAATAGGATCACTCCTTTAAGGGGACAAATGAACACAATTTACAAGCCTAAAATTTCAGGGTCATCAAGGAGGTTATTTATTGTTGGACCATCTCTTGTCTATAAGCTTAAGCTAACAGAGAGTGAGCGAATTTATTTATTCAAATTATATCATACGCTTTCATCAAAGGCTTTACATGTGCAAAATTTTCATAAATGGGTGGTGGCAAAACTTGAATGCAGAAACTCTTTCTCTAATACCATGTTGAACCACCAAATTTTAGAGTAGATAAATTTATTTATTTATATGTAAATTATGTCCTCACAAGAGGAGAAAGACCATTTCAGATTCTTGTGACTGCATGTTCGAGAAACTAAATATACGAAACTCCATCAAAAACATCTTCAGATTTGGAACGGATAGTCTACAATTTCAAACATGATTATATACAACACCTAAGCCTTCTTCTCCTTTACCTTTCACTATTCTGCGGTTTAACTTATCATACAACCATATGCACAGAGAGAGGAAGCAAATACAGACGGGTTGGCCCATCTTGAATACCAACCATTGTACACAAATAATCCACTTATTGTGATTTACAGTTTTAGAACAAAAACATAGTCATTAAACATGTAATATAAAGTAAAAGCAGATCAAGGGAGAAGAAGGTAGATAGATAACAGCCTTATTTCTCCACAAGATTTTAAGCATAACACTAATCACCAAAAGGAAGGAAAACAATGGTCACAAGAAAAATTTTACGACATGACGGTATCAACTTACAGCTGTCAAAGCTGCTTCAGCACCTTTATTTCCTGCCTTTCCACCAGCTCGATTTAAAGCCTGCAATTATCATGAACTTTTTTATAGAAAAAAATCTGCATTTAACCAAAAAGAAAAAGAAAATACACAATAGAAATTCTACAGATACATAAAGCTTTTTGAGTAAACTGACTTAAGAAGCTCCATTTAGTAATACAAAACATTGCAGATTCCATAAACAATAGTCTAAGAAAAAACGTTCCACAGTTTTACCTGATCCATGTCATCACATGTCAAAACCCCAAATATGCAAGGAACTCCTGCAAATCATTGTAAATAGAAGCTCGTTGGTCAATCAAATTTCGGTCAAAGCAATTGCAACCAAAACTGTGTCGTGAAGATGGAACTTAAGATAACTTCAGGGATTTTGAGTAGTAAGTGTGTGCCATTTGGGTGTAAGGTGCTTGCCACTAAATATATAGAAGTAATTAAGGGAAACAAAAATGATATTTGGGAATAATTGATATTCAAAAGGTTATGAAAAGAGTTAATGGATATTGTCACCTCACAACTTATCCCAATAAGAAAATATATACATGAAAATGGATCACCGTGTTAGAGGTCAGAAATCAACCAATTTTTCTCAAAAAATAAAAAATAAATACAAAACTATAATTTATGAACAAACATTGTTAAAGATAATCCAGCAAAAGAATTAGCCCCTTTGCCACAGGGATGACAAGAAACTATCCATCAGGGGTCAGGCAAGCAATGACTAACCATCTAATGACACATCATCACCGACCTACTTGAAAAACTTCAAGGATGTTAAGAAAACAGGTCTCCAAAAACTATAGTCTGAACGAAATATTCGAGAGAAATTGGAATACATTTTTTCCATTAACAGTAAGTGATACAAATTCAACAGGTACACCAATAAAGTTAATTGACAGTAACATTATAAAAATGTCAGCATTGCCAAATGACACAGAAACTTAGGCTTTAGCTGTTATTATGTGCATGGACTTATGCAGCAGTAAATGGGGGTGGCGGAAATCAATATAATTCTAATGTCAAAATCAACCCACCTGAATTTAGACCTGCAGAGAGTACTCCTGATGCAGCTGAATTAGCCACAGCATCGTAGTGGGAAGTGTCACCTCGAATCTACTGGTCAAAAAGGGTAAAGATGATAAATTCATTTAGTAATTGGGAATAATGATAAGGATACAGGGAACACCAAGAAGAGGCAAAAATATAATGAAACTTGATAGCCTTCACATAGTAGACAATTGAAAATAAATAGTGACCTTGAGCTGTGACAGAAAATGCAAATAATAAAAATATGAAAACATATTAAGGGAGACGTGCAAAATAAAAGAAATATCACTAAACATTTGGAACTTGTGAAAGAAAAGCATACCACAGCTCCAATACACAGAACTGCTTGATATTTCCTAGACTTTCCCAGCTTCTCAGCAACCACGCCAATTTCAAAACTACCAGGAACCCACACAACCTAATGCAAAGAGATTAGGATAATGCTATGTGTATCTGTTCAAGCATAAAAGTTTTTTGACAGGCAGACCAACATTAAAACAATTGCGGAAAAAAAAAAGAAAGTATCCAGAATAAGTAGGGAAATGAAAAGGTCACTGCAAAAACTATTCATCTCACCATTGTGATAAAAAGAATTAAAATCTTCAAGTCTAAAATAATACTTATGCTCAATTTAAATTTGTCTACCCCATAAGTATTAGAAACTCAACCACACAATGGAGTCTAATGAATGTATAGCTTATTTTATTAATGTGCTCACAACACTTTTGAGTTACCTGCATTTTAAAAATATCAATTATAGTTTCTGAAAACCACTCTTTCCGTTCAACCTTATTTATCTAGATTTTGGAGGAACAAGAGATCCAGATGGGCCTTCCTAGTGTTAGTGAAAAATTATCAATTGATTAAAAAATTAATACTGCAAGGCTGAGCTACCTAAAAGCTTGTAATTTGCAAGAAAACGGCCAATGAGAAGCTTAAACTAATTCCACAAAGTGATAACATAGATATTGTGCCAAGGAAAACATTTCCATCATACATAAAGACATGTAAACTAGTTATACCAACATTCTAATCATTCATATAGTGCTAACTTAAATTATGCTCATGAACTCTAGCAATTACAAGTAACAAAAAGAGGCAAACAAATGAAGCATCATCGATAATTGTTGGTTGCTCACATCAATATCTTCTTCTTTAACTGAGTATTTCTTGAAAGTGTCCAAAGCTCCCTCCAATAGTAGCTTCGTGATGATTTCATTGAAACGTGCCACCACCTTTATACAAAAACAACAAATCCACATCCAGTAAAGCCCCAAAATAAACAAAACGAAGCAAACATTTGGAACATAAGCAATAGGAACCCCAACCCTCATCAGGAAAAAACACAGTCAACCCCTAAATTCAACTACTAAAAACAAAAATAAACACCAAATATCAGTGTAATAAACGTAATTAAGGAACACAAATATGCAAAACGGCAGCACGCACAATAGCAAAGCGGAGCCCCTCAGCAGCCGTAATTGAACCAGTTAACTGTCGAACAGCCAACATCTGCGCATTACGATCTTTGCCGGTCTTCCTCTCAATTGAAAAACCAAATCCTGAAATAGCCACAATGTCAATATCAATGAGATAAAAATAAAACACAATCAAACCCAAATTAAGTAGTCATTTAACACGGATAAAGACCAATTTTTGAAGCTGTGCTAATCTCGATTTAGAATTCACAGATACAGAGCAAGCTACAATCATTTGAAGGGCCAAGAAACAAACTTGATTGTTAAATTTTGAACTAGAACAAGTAATGATTAGAAGTAGATCGATCTGGAGAACACATACCTAGCTGGGAGGAGGATGACGATAGTGACGTACCATCTATTTTTGTTGTTGGGAATCTTTTAGGTTTAAATAGGAAAGAGATGGGTGGATGACGATTTGTGGGAATTGAGGAAGAAGAACGAGGAAGAAGGTAGCAGTCACCGAATGAAACGCCAGCAGCCATTTTCGCAATCTTCTCTGCTCTATGCTTCTGCAGGCGTTATACTGTGAATAGGGTAGAAAATGGAATTCATGTATTTTGACTTTTTGACCTTTTTCCATGAAGCAAGTCAAGAGGTTTGTCTCCCCGTTACGAGTTTTGAATAATATTTTTTTGAAAAATGTGGATTTAAAATTAAAAAAAATTATTAATTTGTAAGTAGAATATTTTATTGTGTGAATGTCTGATAAAAAATGTTACTATAACAAACAATTTAGAGTCCGTTTGGTACAAATTAAAATCTTATTTTAATCTAAATCAAAGTCAAATAATCAATATTAATCAAATCTTTCATGAGTAGGGCTGTAAATGGATCGAATATGGATTAGATCTGCTCAAATTCGATCTGATCTATTAAAAATAATTATCGACGATAATCCGACGGATATTTGAATGTTAAATCCATATCCGATTAGCTATATTATCGGATATCTCATCCGATAATCCGATCCGAAATTTAAAAGATTAGAAAAATAAAAAAAAAATTATTTATTTTTTTCATTAAAAATCATAACCTCAACAAGTTTTAACTAATTATTTATTTTAAAAAATATTTGAACTATCTTGATGGGCTTACTTATTATATTAGAAGGCTCAAGTCAAATTTTTTTATGTGGAAATTACATAAAAGCCTACCTTGAAGATTACATTTCATAAATCATAGGAAAAGTTTACTATTTCAAAAACCAGATTTTTTTATTCTTTAAGATAATATTATTATATAAATATATTATTAAATTAAATTAAATTACAAACCCACCATCAATTTCCCAAAATCGTTCTCTCTCTCTTCTCTCTCCCTTTCGCCCTCCCCTGAAAACACTGACCGTAGGTGGAAACTCTGCCTATGGTCGGTGTTGGGCGATTTCTTTTTCTTTTTTTTTTAATCCTATGGTTGGTGTTGGGCAACCGTAGATGAAAACCAATCACCCCCCAAAAAAAGGAAACTGCAGAGCCTCGAATAGGATGAAGTGACTCGTTTCTCCCACAATCGTTGCACGGTTGTGGTGGTGTGCGCGGTGGTGGTGCTGTGATGCGGTGGTCAGTGCTGTGATTTATTTATTTTTTATTTTTTTTTGAATTTCTGGAAGACGATTTTATTGAGTTTTGGGTGTTTTTGTTGGTGATTGATGGTTTTGTGAACGTTGCGATGGTGGCGATGATTTAGTGGTGGACTGCGATGGTGTTGTTACAGGTGGTCATGCTGGTGGCACAAGCATTGGGTGACGTTTTGGTGGTGGCATAGGCATTGCGGTGGCGGTGGCGGTGGCAATTCGGTGGTTGGGCGATTTCTTTTATTTTTCATTTTTTTGGTGACAGTATTGCTGGTGTTTAGGTGGTGATTTTGGTTTTGCATGGTCTGGTCGTTTTAATGGTGATAGTGGTGGCGATTGTGGTGGTCATGGCAGTAGTACGATGGTGGTGTTGCGTGGGGGCGACGACGGCGGTTTGAGGAGGTGGTGTTGTGACCAATCATTTAGTTATTTGAGATTCTCAATTGTTGTGTTGGTGTGTGACGGGCGACGGTGATGGCGATGAAAATTGTGACTTTAACTGTTGCTCACAGTTGAATTTTGTTTATTGGATATTTTGTGAACAGTGTGGTGGTGGTCACGGTGGTGGTAGTGTTGTTGGAATTGGTGGTGACAGATTATTTGGTCAATTGTGACTAGTGAATTGGTTAATCAGTGACCAATAAATAAAATAAATAATGCGTGATCAATGAAAAAGATAAACTGTGACTAAAAAATAATGTGTGATCTAAAAAATTAATAAATTGTGATTGTTGTGACCTATAATATTAGTGATATGTGACCTATAAGTAAATTGTGATTTTCGATCTGTGACCGTTTGAATAGTTGTGACCAATTATCTACGTGATTGCTATTAATAATTGGATATGTGACCTGATAATTGTGACTGCGACCTCTGATTGTGACTTTCAATTGATTAAGTTGTAATCGAAAAATTAATCGTGACCTGAAAATTGTGATTGTGACTTCCGATTGAGACTCACTTTTGATTAAATTGTGATTGAAAAAAATAATTGTGACCAATTAATTCAATAATTTGCAATAAGTAAATACGTTGTGATCAATAATATTTTTGAATATGTGACCTATAAATTTTGTGAATTTGCAATCAAAAACCATCCCGTGACTTATAAAAATTTTGATTTGTGACCAAGAAATTAGTTGTAATCAATAATTTGATAATTTGTTACTAAAAATTAATTCGTGACTAATTAATTAGATAACCGTGACCAAAAAATATCTCGCGACTTATAAATTTTTTTATTCGTGACCTAAGAATAATATGTGACCTATAAAATTTTCGATCTGTGACCAATAATTTGATTAGTTGTGACTAAAGATTAATTCGTGACTAATTAATTTTTTGATTTGTGACCAATGAACAAACTGTGACCTATAAAAATTTTGAATTGTGATCGTAAAATAATTTTTGACATAAAATTTTTGATTTGTGACCAAAAAATAATAAGTGACTAATTAAATTGTTAAGTTATGACCAAATTGTATAAACATGTGACCTAAATATATTTAATTAATAAATAAATTAATTAAATCATAAATATATTTTAATAAAAATCTGATTTTTGAAGTTTGAAACTTGTTTTCTTAATTTTGAAATATACCATACTTAATCTCTTGTTTATGAAATTTTCCCTTTTTTTTTATTCAAGTGATGCTCATTTTAACTCTTTTTTAAATGGCACTCTTCTTGGAATGTTTAAATGATATTCCAATGTGGGACATTATCTTTTTAAAGGATTCTCTTCTTCCAATGATTTAGTGATCTTTCAATGTGGATACTAATCAAAATCATTTGTCAATTTTAAGTATTTACTAGTTTACCTTATTATTTTCATTAAAAATCATAGTCCCCAATAAGATGTTAATTACAAACAATATCAATTTTAACAAAGTAAATTATTTTGGACAGATTAATTGTTAGTTTTTTATGTTATAAAACAAATTACTATGATAGATCTAATTAATAAATTAATTATTATTTTTATCTTATTTTAATTAAAAAAAAATTAAATCTCTTCAAAATTTTCAATTAAAAATATTATACTATTAGATACTATTATTTATTATTTAAAAATTACGTGTAAAGTACAATACAATTTTCAAAATGGAAAAAATTGTGTCATAAATTATGCGATAATATAAAAAATATAACATATTATTTAATAAATCGGATTTTGTTGTTATTGAATCAAATTGACATATATCTATATTTGATTCATTTAGTTAACAGATTATCGGATTCGGATTGAGACCCTAAATCCATCCCCCATTAATTTTATCAGATTCGAATCGGATTTGGGTTAAAATTCAATCCATTGACGGTCCAATTTATGAGTCCCACAACTTTTTAACTATATATTTCAAAAAATTCTATCACAATTTATTAAAAAAATCTAATTTTAATCTATATCTAATGCCCTCTTAATTTGTTAAATGATGACAAACAAGGACTGAATGATCATTTTTATAATAGGAGATCTTGAGAACTATTGAATATATTTTTATATATCAATTTTTGATTTTTTGACAAAAGTTTTGGTAAATTTTGATAGAAATTGAAGAAACGCGTGGTTGAAAAGTTGAGAAAAGTTACGTGCTTCATTAAGCTCTTGTTTGAGCCCCATTTTGGGTTTAAAAAAAAAAAGAAGAAGTTTTGGAATAGTGTGTTTTTGAAGAATACATGTTTAAAAAATAATGAAGACTTTAATTTTAGGTTTGTTATTATTTTATTGGAATATGGGTGATTGAAAATAAGAAAGAGAAAAATGTATTATAAGTTTAATGGAACCCAAATATGGGCTAAATGTGTAGTATAAAAATTAGTGGTTGACTTCGAGATCAACTTTTAAAGCTATCCCAAACAATCACTTAAAATTGAGAGCATGATTGGGGATGTTTATAAACTGTTTAAATTTTAAATAAATGAAAATAAGTGATGGATAAATCAATAGTACATGTAAATCTATCAAAATGTGAAAATAAAAATAACTTGAGTTTTTATACACTTTTTTATAAATATTGAGAATATTTGTATTCTCACCTATCATGAGTATCTACTATTGTCTAAAAGTATATTATTGAAATTATCAAAAAATCTATGATGAGAAGAGAAAGAAACCTCCAAACTAATATTAATATACTTGAAGCAAACACGGCATTGAATTAAAAGTTCAATATATATAATATTTTATTGCTTGGCATGATCTATTAGACTATCATAAGAACAATACTGGAAAAACATGAGAATTTGAATAAATATTAGCCCTTGTTTGAGCATCATTTTTTCATCATAATACATTTTTCAATAGTAATTTGATCTCACTTCAATCACACATTCTTCCATAAAACAGTATTACATGCAAATTCATGACTTTTTGTCTTATTTTTCAACCACACATTTTCTATCAATACATTATTCATAAATGTATTTTTTAACAAGGATGAGCCTCAAATAAGGGTTTAATTGAATAACCATAAAATTCTTCAATTAACGTCCCGTTTGATTGTCATTTTTATAAGAATGAAAATAAAAAATATAGTCGTTATCGGACTCACACAAGAGATAGCAAGTCAAATATTGTAGCTTAATATAATGGATAAATGTCATATTTTTCATTTTTGTGGCCAAAGAATAAGAATCAAATGAGGGCTAAATGAATTTTCATGCTATGCTTGTTCTCTGTATTGAAAGTGATTATAGTGATCATCACTAATTAATGTTGGGACATAATCCATATAATCTTGAAAAATTAATGAGGCCTTTTTGAACCGTATTATTTAAAAAAAAATTATATTCTTAAACAGTGATTTGACATCATTTCAACTACACTTTTTCAATAAAATAATATTATACACAAATTCAAAAATTCTCATCATTATTTAACCACATATTTTTTATCAATATACTATTTCAAAATACATTCTTCCAAAATAATTTGGCTCAAACACACACTTAAAGTGATATATGGAACCTTG